GTTTCTAAAGAAACTGTGGTGCTGCGTCGGTGGGAGAGTATAGCAGGGTAATTTTGTAATATCAACTGAGTTAATGTCTTAAATTGGCTACCGTAAAGAGTTTAAAAGCTGACGTTTCAAGCGATAGCCCTTCGTCAGAGCAATTGAATACTTCGATTAAATACGAAGTAATCGCTTTAGCCAATGAGAGAAGAGGAAATATCACAACGAGCCAATGAGAATTCAAAGTAAAACCAAGCAAACTGAGCATTGCGCGGGAAAAACGCGGGTGACCAAGTCGCGATTGGTTTTAGTTTGGATTCTGATTGGCCGAGAAAGTGGCGCGAGTTTTCTCGACCAATCATAGAGCGAAGGAAAGCAAAACTGCAAAACTAAAGCAGTCCTGGATTACGCTTACCACCTTTGTGATCATTTGAACAGTATCTGTAGCTCAGTTGGCAAAACTTGGTAGAACTACACATGGGCTGATACTAGTTTTTACTTCGGTACTAGCTGCTCCATTTTGCAGGGTAAATAAAGTTATTATTAACTTCCCATTTTTCGTTGTCCCTCGTTTAAGAGGTATGCTTGACATCTTTTTATCTTCTTTCTTAATCTTTGTAGCTGATATAAAGGCTCAAAAGAACTTAGAGCACAAAAGACAAATCATCGATACTACTCTACTGAAATGTTACTTGCAGGTTGGTACTGTTGGTATTTAAATAGATTATTGAAGAGGCAAATAGATAAGTCGATCTTAAGCCAGCTCACACCTACTAACGAATTTCTTACGCATAACGAAAAAATGAGTGACTAAACTGATTCAGAGGAAGAAAATTATTCGTAAACAGTGAACTTTGTTTATGTAAAACACCTAATTTAAGAGAGGAAAGAACTGGAGAGAAAGTAGAGTCAGAACTCTACTGAATGTCTTCGAAAAGTTTCGTAATATCCTCGGAAGTCTTCGGTTATGATCGGTGCCTTTTAAGAAAATTCGCAGAGATCGCCCACCTTCCTTTCGCCCAACGACCCCCTCCCTCCACTGGTAGGAAACCGGGTTATCTACTCCCCAACCTCCCCCTGTATGTCACATTTTGTATAGAAGCATTTGGCGCTGGCCTAGTTTACTGCTGCTTCGCATGATATGAAATGAATAGCCGCTGAACTATGGCACACTAGGTCTACCCCTCTGAGGTCTTTCCTTACTTTACCTGAGGGAGGAGGGGCGCCTGTTGGAAGCTGGGCGCTCAACCAGACATTAAAATAAGTAAAAAAAGGAAGAATGTTTAGTTAAGTGTAAGGTACTTCGAGCGCAGTGTGCACAAAACAAGGGACACTCTAGGTCTATTGAAATTAGTATAGGTAATCACATGATTTCGAGTGAAATTTGGAATAAATAAGCATGAGTAAATTTTTTCAAAGAGTAACAAAATTGCACGAGCCCGTAGGGCGATTGCAATTTGTTTGTTTATTCCAAATTGCACTCGAAAAATCATGTAATTACGTATTAATAATATCCATGAAAAATACGAGATAGCTTATCATAATTATGCAGAAGTAAAGCGCGCGCATCAAGTGCAAGAATTTATTTATTCCAACCCAGCAAGTGACATGGTGCGTTCGGTCAAAAAAACCGCGTACGATCAAAACAATAATATACAATGATGTTTTCACATCTTTAAGACGCAAAGAAGTTCAACGTGTGGCTGAACAGTTCAAGGAATTAATCAGTCTGGTTTTCGTTACTTCTTTGCACTGGATTAACCTTCTTCTGCATTGAATTACCTGAAAACTGCCGCAGTCAGAATTGAGTAATTTTTTCATGTACCTTATTAAATGGCAAATAAACGTTTTCTATAACATAAAAAACACACAAAGTTTTAAATAGAAAGACAACTAGACAATGTAAATTTCTCCTTCTGCTGAAATGACGTGAATCACTTTGTGTTCGTTTCCCCTTCAGACAAACGATGCCCTCGTAGCGCCACTGCTGAGGTTGAAAGAAAACTTCTGTCATGTAGAGGAGTGTGAAAGAGTTCTATCGAAAAGTAAAAAATACAATGAATTGGTGATACTCTACCAGGCTAAAGGTCTTCATAAAAAAGGTTGGTTGTGCTGTGGTACATCGGTTAGAACTGTGAGTGATGTATTGCAAAAGTGGTAATTTTTGCCTATTTGGCTTCAGCAAAATGGTAACCCTCATATTGATATGTTTCTGTTTGCTCCCGTGAGTGAAGTGGTTATTCTCCGTAGTCAGTGCCAAATGCCTTTTTTGTGTCTTATGCCCCATTCACATCAGCATAACATGTTTACTTCAACCGCGTTTTACTGAATGAAAATCAGAAATAGGAAACGGAAAGACTGAATCCTCCATTGGTCTCAAATAGCCACTGACTTGTATTTTCAACGGGCTAAATTTGAAGCCGACCAACATCGTTTTAAGCAGCTTCTATGAAGAAAACAAATTTAAACCGTGTTTAACAAAACAGCTTTAAGACTTATATAAGCTTTTGCTTGAATGGAGTATAAGTTTCAAAAAAATGTTTTTTTTGATTCCTCATCCCTGGACAATGAAATTTATGTTATATGAAAAAGCTCCGTATTGATCATAAGAGGGAGTGAAAGAGTTAAGCAGGCAGTGAACAAGAAAAGTAAAAAATGGTCAACTGAAACTGCCCTGATGGTTTTTATAGATATTTGACCTCTTTTGGCTTGTTAGTGTCTGTTGAGAGAGTTTCGATCGTGTTAAGTCCACAGATGTCGAGATATTTTTATAACCTATCACATTTTACTTTCAGCCCTAGACCTTTTATTGAGACAGGCTCAGAAAAGCAGCGGTCCACTCAAAGGCCACCAGAAAACAGTGCAATATCTCCAGCGTTTAGGTAATCGTCAACAATAAAACAAACAGACTTCATTTTTCCGTGTGTATATAAAGCGGTAGGTAACGAAAGACGTCAAAATATGGCAGGAACATTAGTAACACACTTTACTGCGCCTCGTGTATCACGTTTTTGTTTTGCCACAATTTGACTTCATCTGTGATTTATTGCTGAAAAGACACATTGCAACGTAGAGAAAAAAAGAATAGAAAAATGTATAGTTTTATCGTTCTCAAATGTGTTCCTTTTTTTTTTTTCAGGTCATGAACACTTAAAGCTTATATTTGATTTTTCCGTCTGGGTTTTAAAAGCACACCCTGATGACGGATTAAAGGTAACTTCTAAAGATTTCAGTTAAAGGAAATATGTTTTTTTCGTCTCGCCACGAGCGTGGGGCAAAGAAAAAACTCTGAGTCGACTTTAGGAAACTTTCTTGTTTTCAATTTGGTTTACTTATGGAAATCTTTACCAGAACTCTCATAAGCCAAAAATAAATAAATAACTGATTAATGTGTAGGATTTTGCGCAAGTTTTGTCCAAATAACACACGTCTATTGTAAACAGAAGGCGAACAACGTTGGCAAGTGTTGAAATGCTTGGAAATTTAACGTAAGTAAACGCGCTAGACTCGATTTTCGTTGTGGAAATTTCTTAGGGGTTTTCAGCAAATGTTTGAATTTCCACAAGAAACTCTCCCTGATCAATTAGTCAGACCGTATTATTATTATTTTGCTCCAACACTTAAACACACGTTGATAAATACATGGTTTTCTAAGTTTTATAATGAGCAAAAACCGTATAAAAACTCATATTTTCCCCAAGATCAAGCTCAAGAACCTTTCCTCCTTTGTCTTCCTAGATATTTACAGAAGATTTACCAGAAGTCGAAGGCCTACCACGCGATAAAGTACTGGCTCACATAGAACAGTGCGCGAAACAGTTGACCATCAGATATTTGGTGTGTACAGTGAAGTCTAACTTGTACTTAACCCTTCACAACCTTTACATCAGTTCGCATATTCTCCATACTGTTCTCGATATATATCCGAAGAGTTGACAATGAGAATTTGTCATGAAATCAAGGTCTCCGTGAGTTCGTGATCATTTCCTTATTCTCATGACCTTAATGATTGATTCAAGGGTGATATTGTAGGGATAAATTAGATGCCAGTCATTCTTAGGGGTTAAAGGGTTACGTAAGGTGTGAATTCACGAAGTTTCTCCCTTTTTAGGAACACATAATCTTCCTTTGGAATGAATCAAAGCCAGATTTTCACAACAAGTTGATCAACTGCTACCGTGAAAGAGTGCAGGTGTTGATGAGAGAGTATTTAGATTCGTTATTGACAGGTTCGTATCTGCTTTGAAGGCAGTTATTCTTTTTTCGTCGGTTGGCGAAAGGAAAGGGAAAGTCTGTAAAGTTTATACCCAACAAGGAGCCGAAGCCGATCACGGTTGCTCTACCATGAATCGACCAGGAGTATTGCCTCTACCCTCCGGGTGGGATTCAGGTTTATGTTACCCCCCCTCCCCCTCCCTCTTAGCACATCATCAGGTTCATCGAGTTCGCCGGTAGCCATTTACCCTCCAGGCTGGTTAGAGGTATTTTGTAGGTAAATTGTCTCGCACAAGAACACAGCACGATGACCCAGAAGGGTGTGGTTCACTTATCACAACCCTGGTAGAAAGAGGAGGTCCCAGTCCCACTCAACAAATCAATCCTCAGACCCTCGGGTTATTTTCTTTAGTCAACAATCGACCCCAAAATTTACCATCCTTCTTAACCCTGTACACCCTAACATCGGTATCCATGTTCCTCATGCCGTTTTCTCTGCACTTCCTTTGATGCTGACAAGGAGAACTCGTTTAAAAATCAAAGCTTATTTGGTTGGTGATCATTTCCTTTATTCTCGTCACCTTAGTGTGTGATTCAGGGCTGATGATACAAGGAGAGATTAGATGCTAATCACTCTCTTAATAATAGAGAAAAGGAGAAGCCTTTTAAGAAACATTCTTGATAATGGTCACGTGGTTTATTTGTCAGGTGACGAGCCTGTCCCTCCCGGAAGTGAACCAGGTGAACTCGGAGAACTGAGAGGAAGATTGCTCTTCTTGTTAGAGACTTCAAAACATTATCAAGCGCAGCATCTATTAACGCACTTCCCAGAGAGTGAGTCGTTTCATTTTTCTTACCTTTGAGAATTTGGACCCTTTTTTCAAAGAGTTATTGTGCGAGAAATAAAAATCTTACAAGCATAGCTCCAAACAAATAGTTCGCGCCAAAAACTGGTGCAGAGTTTGCGTTCCCGCCAAACTGACGCAGCGTTTGCGTTCCCGTCAAAACTGAAACAGCGTTTGCGTTCCCGCCAAAAGTGACTCAACGTTTGTTTTTCCGCCAAAACTGACGCAGTGGTTAAGTAAAAGGCGCGATGTTTGTGTGTTGCTTTTCGATTTTCTGCCAGAAGTGTCCCCAAATGTTCTAAAGACGCAATTTTTTTCGTGTTCCCTTCTTTCTGGCAGGTTTTTATCACGAACGAGCTCTTTTGCTTGGACGAGTGGGAAGGCATGAGGAAGCTCTGGCTATATATATCCACATTTTACATGACCCCAAACTTGCTGAAGAGTAAGTCCCCTGTTGCCAGTGCCTTTTAATTAAGTTTCGTCACACCAGAGGCAAAGTAATCACAACGGCTTAAAAAATAGTGTTGTATTAAGTGCCGACAGTAATCCGTGACTGCTTTGGATTTGTTTTACTTTGATGGATGATAGCTTCAAAACTCGCAGCACTCTCTCAAATTAGTTTTGTAACTAAAACTAATCGCGATTCGTACACTTGCGTTGTCTCGGGCTGGCAGTTGACTTGTTTATTGGCTGTCGTGATTACTTTGCCTTTAGTTTTTACGATATTCAAGCGAGGCTTTCAGTTTAACGATGTTCAAGCGAAATGTGGTCTAATTTTTTTTTGAAGCGCGGGAATACGTGACTGACCAAGTCGCACTTTGTGTAAGTTTTGCATCTGATTGGCGAAGAAAGTGGCATGATTTTTCTGGACCAATCACAGACCATAGAGATGCAAAACAATGCAGTTCAGGATGACTTGGGACACTCATACTGTAATTATAAAAACTGGCCGGGTAAGCATAATTTATGGGCATCACAAGCTCAATAAATTGTAATATAAGGGCTTCCGTCTGTTCCGCTTGAAATCGCCACAAGAATTATGCAAATTAACCTCGCGTGAATTTCGCACTATTTAACGCATGTCAGGACACTTTTAATACAACGTTGTGATCTCTTTTCCTTTTAGGTATTGTCACCGAAATTATAACGAAGGCCGGGAGGGCAGTAAAGATGTAGGTGTATTGACTTGATTTTGATAACTTAACTTTGTACTGGTCAACCATAGCAACTCTGATCCCCGCATTACTGTTTTTTTTTTCGATGAAATACACGTATTTGTTTCGTAAAAAGACTAGAAGTTAGATTAGGTTTTCTGAGTTTAGGTTGTCTAAACAACGACTATCTGTGATTGGTAGGTGTACGTGTCCTTATTGCGCATGTACCTGGCGCCTCCTGAGATAAGCCGCAAGGAAAATATGAAACCGAACATTGATGTGGCGCTAAACGTACTTCAGGAACATCACTTAAAGATAAGTACTGCTAAGGTGCGTATAACTGTCGTGTCGCACGTGTTTTTAACCATTGTGCAGCACATGCGTGCAGCCATTGTGTCGCATGTGCATGCAACCATCGTTTTGCACGTACGTGTAACCTTGTGTCGCAGGAGCGTGTAACCATTGTTTCGCACGTGTGTATAACCATTTTGTCGCACATTGTGTGTAACAATTGTGTCGTACGGTTTTATGTGTGAGTCACTGACTCTGCAGTTTTGATTGCTTTGTGCTTCTCAGATCTTACATGCACAGCGCAATTTATAACAAAAAGTGAAGCATTACTGGCTGAGACCAATACTCCAACGTACCTGAGAGGCAGAGGTGTATTTCAGATACGTAGAAATGCCCTCCCATTTTGAAGGATTTCTTCCGATTTGATACGAATCCGTTTCACATCGGACGTTTTTTTTTTTGGACGTATAAATTCGGACGGCCCCTTCTTTCGGGTACCCGCGACTATTTCAGGACGATCTTGTCCGTTTTGGGATGGCTCGGTCTAATGTCAGACGGTTCCGTTTAGTGATCGCTGGTGTTTTGAATCTTCAGGCACTTGAACTACTTCCTCCATCTATTCAAGTGAGGGAGGTTTACGCGTTTTTGCTCAATGTTCTGGAAGACAAAGAAAGGAAACGGAAGAATTCTCAAGTGTTAAAGAGCCTTCTGTTTGCCGAGCATCTACAGGTAGGCTGAGGAACACTACCTCTTCTTTGTTAAGGGGTCAGAGTTTACAATCTAACTGCACGATCTTTCCCGACAGGTTCAAGAACAACGTATGCATTATCAGGGGGGTAAAATACTCCTGACCGATGAAAGAGCTTGTCGTGTGTGTCACAAGAAGATCGGAACAAGGTGGGAAACATTTACAGTCCTATTTTTTCTTTTTCTTTACATCGCTCACGGTTAACGCTGCTTCTCATTTGTTTCTTTTTTTCCAGTGCCTTTGCATATTACCCCACGGGCGAAATACTCCACTACTACTGTTGCAAGAACCTTACCTCCCCCCCAAACAGTGAGCACACGACTCCCCGGGGTAGCCCAACCCCCGAAGATAATATGTTACAAAGATACTGATCAAATGCGATGCAGTTCGTCATCACGTGCGCATCATGCATAAAACACGTGACAAGTGAGGAAGTGCAGATGTACGCTGAGGTGTTATACCACGTGTATTTCACGTGATGCGTAACAAATCAACAAGTATTTCGTAATCAAACATTCAAAATCTTCCCAGAATATTTATCCAAGGAAAAGAAATTGGAATTTTACAATGGAATCGATAATCAAACAATGTTGCCGTAGCTTTGCTCTGTATTGTAACCTGATTGGCTAATCATTTAGTCAATCAGCTACAAAACCAAAACCAATCACGTGTTGGTCACGTGCGTTTGTCCGCACTTGACCTCTAGATTAGTACTTAGATCACTTGATGCCGTTAAAGAGAGTTAAAATAATTTACTCAGAGATAATGATCTAATGTTTAAGTCACTACCAGAAATGAAAATTTACCCAAAAGTTACAATAAGAATTCATGTCACGACAAAGAAAACAGCTTGGTTGTCACGCAATATCCTTTGTTAGATGTTTCGTTACCAATCATTTTAGCTGTGGCGTCACAGAGTATGTTTAGTAACAGATATTTTTTAAAAATAGAAATATTTACCGTATGAATGTTGAATAAAAGGAGATTGAGGGTGTTTCACATGTGTTGCACGACTATCCTCTCGTAAAATGTAATTAAATATTCTATTGAAATTGGCATTTTCAAGGTAGTTAGATTCGCAAATAACCTGAACGGAGGGAGTACCTTCAAAATGGCTGTATTTAGCGAGTCAAAGATGAACACTGGGAGAAAAATTCTTATTTCTGAAACTTGCCACAACGCTCGCATTCCATTCCAAGTTCATTTGTGGACCCTCACTCAGTTAACCATCACTTTCCTCAAAGTCGATCCCGAATGTACACGTGCTCGTGACAGAGGTATCAATTAATGCCTTAGCTGACCATCGATTTCTCCCTAGCCCTGTGAGACAGCATCGGACCGCATTCGAATGTATGGGGTTCGATTCATTATGGGGGACTCAGACATTTTCTTTGGGCTACGCCCTAATCGTGAGTTTTGTTTTCAGGCAGTAAACAGGCAAGTGAATGTAGTTTACATGAACAATAAGGTTTATTTATGGACTGGTCAATAACAAGCCATATTACCTGGCATTAAATAACGACAGATAATTCATGAGATATGCTTTTTTTTTCTTCGCAAGCTGAAGTGATGAATGCAATCGTATGACAGCAATTCCGAAAGAAGTAGCGAAACCCCTCCAGAAAAGTGGCAGAACCTTGCTTAGCTTTTTAAATTTTTTCACTGTTCTACTATCCTTACGCTTAAATTTAATTTCGTTTGCAGCACTCTTTACTAAGCAGTAGTCTATATCAATGCAATTCTTAGCTGTTGACATTGTCAATACTGTAAATGGCTAACCAAAACCAAAGCAAAAATATTTGAAAAAAAAATTTTGTCACAAAAAAACTCAAAACCTTCGATTAAATCAGTCCCACAATTATAGCCCGCCTAGAAAACAATTGCACCCTAAGCAAAGGAACTAAATTGCCTGGGGGCTCCTGACGATGATCAATATGGTACTGGGTACCTTCCCCAATATGGTGGTGGTGGATAATAAGGCAGAGTACTCCAAGGCGAGACTGAGGAACACGCGTACTTTGACGGCAGCTCAGTTCTCAACACCAGAGGAGTGTCGGGATAGGTGGGAGGACGACAGTCGCAGTCAGGTGGGTAACTATGGAAACCGTGCTGCATGGAATATGCAAGGTTACTCAGGAATGATAGTTTGGTTCTGCGTTCGACGTCCTCAGCTCGTTTTCTCTTTTGTTTCATTCGTCTGTTTTGGAACCAGGTTTTTACCTGTATTTTGAGAGGAAAAACAATTTTGTTGTTTGAACGTCACAGAATAAGAGCGTGGAAATAATCAGAATCTGCTACCAACTTAGTGCAAGGTTTACCGACCAACCCTAATACGGAGTAAAGCAAAACTAAGCAATTCAGGATTACTTTGAAACTCATTTGAGAATTGGGCTAATCGTGATGAATTGGTGTTTTCTTGTGCGCGAGAATTTAACAGCACTTCATACTCGACCTTGGACAATTTGCATGGAAACTGTTGCGTCCAAGAAATGAAATAGATTTTCCACTACTTGCGCAAGGTGATCCCTTGATTGGTATTTTAAGCAGAGAATAAGACCCAATATCATACCTGTGTCTCAGTCATCTGAAGCTGCTCTGCAAGCCTTTGCCTGTCTCTGGAGCCCAGGTATTTCTGTCGTTCAAAAACTCGTTCTAATTGCAACACCTGCTCCACTGAGAATGAAGAGCGGGACTTGCTGGATTGCGCTGGGTATTTATCTTTGAATTCTTCAGCAGCATCTGAACAATTAAAAACAGCAAATTTTAAATCTCACAAGATAATTTGACTTTAGAGCGTTAGTCCTTTAACGATCACCTTAGTTTCTGTAGAAACTTACCCCCTGTAAACCTGCAAAATTGGTGTGTTCACGATTAGCTAAAATTACGCGCACTTGCAAGAAGGAGCCAAACACGTTCGTGATTCAACTGACAATTGCAAATGACAAACTATAACAAATGTCACTAAAAATAAAACTTGAATTATAGCAAGTCTTTAATCCGTTGAAATATCTCGCAAAAAAATACATTTGGCCTCAAATGTTCGTTCCTAACAAGTTTGCATTTGAAGACTTTCATCTTATAACTGTATTCGCTCTCAGAAAGGAAACTATCAAAAAAAGTTTCATTTCATTGATAAGTAAGTGGAATAGTTGATCACTTAGAAAAAACACCTTGACCAAGCGCTAAGAGTCATGCTTGAGTTTATCTTCTTTTGAATACACAAGTTTTGTTCATGCGAATTTGAAACGAAACAATTGTACGGCAATTTTTCCTCTTCTTTTAGATCCCAAATCCTCTTAGATGAAACTATTTCAAATCGTTCAGAGTTCCTGTGACGAACACTCATGATTGTTTCAGTATTTTAGGGTGTAGGAAATCAAGAAAGAAAAGTTTAACCAGGAAAACGCACCTTTCTTGTCGTTGTAACACATTTCAACTTGAGATTTTTCGTCAACATTCTGCTGAGGTGAATCACTCGCGTCCAAATATGGTTTACCTAACACTTTTGCTTTGTTCCCAGACACGTTAACAGACAGTAAAGAATCTTTGATTTCTTCAGGATTCTCCTTCCAAAGAGAGCCATCTTGTTTGTCTTTCATACTGCTTAACATTGACGTTCACCTCGCCAATATGAGTTGCTCGATCGAAAGCTAATTTGCTTTGAGCTTGTTGCTTTCGAAGCAGACTGTTTTAAATTTGCCGCCCACTTTGCTGTTTGCTTTGATAAACCCGCCAACACGCTGTAAAGTTTTTCTCAAAGACACCGATTGAAGTGTGAATAATCGGTATTTGCAAAGGACGATTCAGTTTGTTTGTTGTTTATCTCGTGATGGTCGGTTGTTTACGATCAGAGTTCATAGATACCGCTTAAAACATCACAGATCGGAAACATTCCATCGGAGCTTTTTATCGGCAACTTTAGAGAAATTGTTTCGAAAGAGACAAACATGAAAAAAGTGAAAAATCACAGTGAATTCAATAAAAATCATGTAATGTTTGAATTTACTAAATCAACAGCGAGAAACTCGATGTTTAGTCTGGGCTTTGAAGATTGATAAGGCATGACAGAAAAGTGGAAATAATTTTCCTTTATCATAAATATCCGTAAAATGTGCTGCCATGCGCTACCCGTTGCTGTCCAACAGGTGTGTTTTTCTCCGCAGAAATGAAGAGACAATGGCCGTTTTACTTTAGAAATTGGAGCAGGTTTTACTTCCGCACGGAAAAATATGGCCTGATAAAAATATCAGCCTTGATAAACTCATGCTCTTATCAGAGTCATACAGTAATTTGCAGATGTAATGTAAACGGCAAACGAGGTCCGAGGAACGAGGTGAATCTTGCCAGCTTTACATGCGTATAATTATTAATGGTAATAGGACCGAGTGGAGTCCAATTCGGTTCGTAATTATACAAGTGCAGGAGTTCGATTTTGGTTAATCACGAGCATGAATTCAGACAGAATTGGACGACACGAAGTCCCGTTACCAATTAATCAAAACTATGACAAAATTTGAGAGAGAAACTAGAAATCGGTTAACAAAAACAACAACAATAGTTAACTCAGTGAAATGCGAGACAACAGCGCGCGCAAACGACGCGTTCTGTCCACTAATACTGGCATGACATGTTAACTGTTCCTTTAACTGTCCTATTACACTGTCCAATTACAAGCATGACGCGTACACTGTCCTATTAGTGCTCAAATGGGGCTGGTGATAACCAATCACTTTCGAGAATTTCATTTTGATTTGTGGAAATACACGCTGTTTACGAACAGCCCGCGTTTGCGTTGTCCATTTTCCGCGGGCATGAGCTCGCAGAAAATGGATTGCAAGAATTACTATTTAATTTGACTATAAAGGGAGTAACATTTACAATAGTAATCAGAAGACATATGTCAACACCTTGAGTCCTTCACCGTAGAAAAACTCCCTATAAATTTATGTGAAGAAAATAAATTTCCAAAGAGAGAAATTGCGCACAAAGATCTATATAATTGATTGGATTTTTATCATCAGGTAGGCTGATGCATCTCGTGCGCCCCTTTAAACGGAGCTTGACAGACGAGGCTTGTTAGGTAATTGTGTCTATCTATCTATTATAACGCGTACGAAAATTCAAAATGATTCGTTTTGAATATTTAGTTTTAGTTACTGTACATTTCTGAAGTAAGTAATTCAGTTGAGAATGTGTCTAATCAAATGCGCGCATACTTCTCTCGGGTGAAAGCGGGGCCAAAGCATATATATTTGCGCGTTCTCTGAGCAAGATGTTTAGACACCCCAGGGAAAAATGTTTAAAAAAATCTCTTATTCAGGTCTGAATTAGAGTTTCAATCAGCAGCTGCAACAGTCCCTCCCACATTTTCCCAGGAGCACCCCAGGGGAGTGGGGACGGAGTGATCAACTCACAGAAGTGTTATACGTAAGCAGGAGCCCATGGGCTCCTGACGTAAGGTGGAGGCTTACCGACATCTGGTAACAAGGCTCTGATATAAGAAAAGCTTTCATATCAATGTTGATTGGCTTTAATTTTTTAATCAAGAATAAACCCAAGATTAAAAAGCATAAAGCAAGCACAATTGCCGGTAAAATTCATAAAAAAAAGCTATTTTAGTTTCGATCAAAGAATGTTGATTTAGATTTAAAAGCGCCATTTTCAGGAAATGCAAAAAAGAGCGGTTACTGAAATATTCCGGCTTTTATGTTGCCGGATTAATTTAGGCAACCTTCGCCCTTTTTGAAATGGTGTACCTTTTTTTTTGTTTTGTTTTGTTTTTTTTTAACAATGGAAGCCTCCAGCGAATTCGCGAACCAATGCTAGTTATATATGTAGCATGTCTCTAGATGTTTAATCTTTTGGCAGGTATATATTTGAGATCTTTGTTCGAAAATCTATAAAATGTTATTACTCATATTTTTTTCTTATTTAGACAACGTGAGAAAATAGCCGACTATGTGGCATAGCCTTGTATTGTGAATAAATTTAGGTTAATTTAAAACAATTCAACAATCTTCAAACACTGGAGTTTGAATTGCTAGTAAAAATTTGGATAGTATCCGATAGTGACAGCTTTTTTTTTCGCCGCGGGCGGACAGAACCTATTCAAAGAAGCTGTTAATTTAAATGATAATGTCACATCAACTTGCAGGTGAGTGGGTCATCCTTGAAACATTGCATCAATTTGCCAGGACCCTCGTTCCAGCCAAGCCTGATGAACACAAAATTACACTCTTCGTTTTAAGCAGTTGGACAATCTGCTTTCCGCGCACTGGCTTTCCTTAAAGGTAACTGCTTTTAATAATTTGTTGCCTTTGTGAATGACCGGCTTTTCTAAAGGTTGAAGTGACTGTTTTCATTGAAGTAACGATCATTGCTTTTGTAGCCAAGCTGATATGTCTATGAAACCTTCAGGAGAATTGTTATAGACACCTTTTGAACGCGTTCTTATCGGCTGAACTCGCGGTGTTTTCAAGGATTGCTCGTAGAAGTTTTTTTTTTGCGCTTGATATTTGCAAAAATTGACTCTTAAAAGGCTTTTACCTTATCGGTATTACTCTACTGATCCTATCTCACCTCTAGTTTTTCTTAAACAAATTTTTAAGCACTGAAATTCGTGTTGTGCGAGTGTTCTTTTCCTCGCCAATCTTATACATGTGCAGGGACCATTGACTACTGCAAGACCGCCATGATATAGAAACCACAATTTAAAGTCATGGTTAATTTGTTACGTAACTAAACTTGGAGCATTGGAGCTAGATCAGTTTTGTTTTATCGTTATCCAGTTAGTCTTGCGTTTACAAAAGAAGAAATACAGCTTTTTGTCGGTTCTGTAATTTTGCATGTGAACTCGATTTTTGTTAAGAGCGAGAAGTAGTTTTTTCAAATTTCGACATTGCAAAAGCACTTCTTATACCCAGCATCTAACAATAATGCTTTAATCGTGAAAGAACATAATATCGATCGATATTCAAATTATAAAAAAAAATTTTGATGTAAAACGACTTTCTAAAAAAATATGGCCCACTGAATGCCGCGACTTAAGTTACAGACTGTTAAAAATTCCCTAACTGTTCAGAACATTTTCATAAACACAACTAATTCAAGACAACAAGACAGCGAAAATTTTGGATTTCATTACTAAGTTCAAAGACACGTTGCGCATATAAATTGCAAATTAAACTGGGAATTGCAATACTATATACCACACCCTAGGAGTCATTCTCAGCAATGAAACAATGTTTCAAGAACATCCTGGAGTTAAGAACAATACGTTTTTTGGATTTGAAAAAACATCGCGTGGATTCTGTTGTACTCTTTTTCACCTTTCGATGTGAAAAAGAGACTTGAGATGTTTAATAAGTCATAATGTTTTCATTTTGGAGATAAAAGTTTCATTATAAATTTAGTGTAATTGAACACCTGCAAACCTTGAGTGAAAAGTATTTCGCAAGGCAATTTGACTAAGGCCCTCTAATTTAACCCTTTAGCTCCCGGGAGAGACCAAGAATGAATTTCTCCTCACATCACCCGTATATTTTTAAGCACAAAGGTGATGAGAAGTGAAAATTGCCAATCGGATCAGCCAGAGGAAAATTCTGTGATTGACCACCAAGTTCTTAGATTTACAATTGTATATGATGAGTGACAAACAGAGTACAGAGCCCTTCTTAGATCTTGAGAGTAAAGAAGTCAAAAGATCTCACCGACAAATTCAAGTCTTATCCAGAAATTGCACGTATGAATTTAACTCAAAAGAATAATGCGTTATACGATGGAAGATATCAATTTAATAACAGAAGCAGTATTTTACAAGGAGAGAAGCAGGTGTTTAACAAGTCTCACCAGAGTATTGAAGGGCATGTTTTTCATTAAAGACAGCAACCTCGGAAACGAGATACAGGCCATACGAGATTATACAGACCGACTGTTCCTTGCATCACAGACCTCTGTAAACATAAAACCCAGAGATAACTCAAGGTTGGCCACACAATTTTAATTGCAAGGTCTTCATGGTAGATTGGCGCATGGCGATAGGAGGGGCGGAGGGTATCACGTTCAAATCAATCGGTGACTTGGAAAAATATATGTAAAACTCTTTCATGCGCGAGTTCATAAACTCTAATTATTCAAGAGTTAGTGGTTAGAGTAGCACATCAGAACCAGTCGGGGTAGTTGTGCGTACGCTGGAATGTATTGAAATACAATAATTTTAATATATATATGGTTAGGAAAAATGAAGATCGAGAGAGCCTCTGGATTCCAAGTAATATAACCCTTACTGCGTTTTAAATAAGCACCACTATTGTTGAATTGAAATGTCAAGGTATGCAAATTTCCCAAGCCAAAGTTGAAGCGCAGCACGCAGCGCGCACACAGCACAAACTCAACACGCACACAGCACGTGCAGTTCATGCCGAGAACAAAAGTCATCGGAAGGGTGAGATGAACATCAAGCAACAGAAAGAAAACTGCATATCTAACAGTATTTTGGTATTTCCCGGAATAACCCGCATAGCTGTTGCAACGCAAACATGAAAGAGAAAATTTTATGAACAGTATCAAAGAGGTAAGCCGGTGCGCCTGTCAACTGGAA